TTTGCTTGCTTGCTATGTATGTATGTATGTATGTATGTATGTATGTATGTATGTATGTATTCACTTTATATGACCACCCATCTCAAATTCATGACTCTGAGCAGCTACCAATAATTAAAAACAACATAAAAAATATAAAACAATCAAAACAGCAACATACACATTTAAAAAATGTAGCCAAGGGAAAAACTACAACATATATCAGTACAACCATTTCATGGGCTCAGACACACACTTAGATCCCCAGGCCTGGCAATAGAACCATGTCTTTAAACCCTTGTGAAAGGCCCACACGGTCAGGGCCAATCTAATCTTTGGGGGGATGATGTTCCAAAGGACAGGGGCCATGACAGAAAAGGCTCTCTTCCTGGGTCCCGTCAGATGGCACTCCCTAATAACCAAGACCCAGAGCATGCCCTTCCTACAGAACCTAATGGGACAAGTAGATGTGATTGGGGAGAGGTGGTCCCTCAGATTACCCAACCTCATGCCATGAACAGCTTTGAACTGCTTTCTTGTAAGAAACCCATTACTTCAGGTTCTGCACTCTAGAACAACAAACTGACATTCTTTTTGATATGCTTTCAAGTATTTAGAGTGCTGCTATATGCCCCTCAGATCTTCTCAAGCTAAACATTCCAGTTTCCTCAGCCTTTCCTCTTAGGAATTTGTTTATAGTGTCCTGGGCACTCTCATTGCGTTTTTTGGCAATTGTCCTGATTTTTCTGAATGTTTTTGAAAATGTAGTGTCCAGAACCAAATACAGAACTGCATGTGAAGTATCATTTCCTGAAGCTTGGAAATTGTACTGATATTTATACAGTCTAAAATTGCAAATGGCTTCTCAGTAGCCATGCCATACTGTTGAGTCATATTCAGTTTGTGATTAACACAAATCCTAACATTCTTTTTACATGTACCATTACCAGCCATGTATCTTACAGCCCTCCATTTAATTCTTAATTTTTCCTGAGTGAACTCCGTAATGTATCTGTTAAATTTCATTCATTTTTATAATCTATCAAGATCATCTGGAATTTTGTTTCTCTCTTGCAGATTATTTATCTATCCCACACACAAATGTGTCATCTGGGAATTTGATAAAACTTTCTCTCCATTTCTTACCCAAGTCATATATCAAAATGTTGAAGAGTACCACTGAACCCCAAACCAAACTCTGTGGAACTGCCTTTGATACCTCATTCCAGTCTGATGAGAACTCACTGATGAGCACTGGTTGATGAGTGCACTTTACCCTTTTTTCATCTTTGCTCAGTAGCTGATACAGGTAGTCCTCAACTTATGATGGCAGTTGGGACCGGAAGTTCCATCACTAAGCGATGTAGTCGTAAAGCATGACCACATCGCTTAGCAACAGCAATCTCTGCAGTCCCGGTTGCTGTCATTAACCAAATCCAACGGTTGTTAGGTGAAGCAGCTTCCTGTTGGCTTCCCCACAACCAAGTCACTGAGGAAGCCAGCAGGAAGTTGCAAGCTTCAGGAAGCTCGCAAGCAGTCCGGCAGGCAGGTAAGTGGCTACTGTCGTCTGAGGGAGGGCGTGAGGGTGCACGTGAGAGTGCAAGGGAGGCACAGCGATACTCGGGGAAGCTTCATGGGGATGTTCAAGGGTGTGAGGGAGGCGAGGTGTAGTGACAGTGTGCAGGGGTGTGCGAGTTCCTGGCACAGTGTGAGTACAGAGGGGCCAGGGGAAGGTGCGCAGGGAAGGTTGCAAATGGCCATGTTTGGTTGACATTTGGTGGATGTATAAAAAAGCTAGAACATTTTGAATTCAGATACACACACTGATTCAGAGGATTTTGAAGATTATAATACAACTGAGCCCAGAGGTTTTTCTTTTGTGACTGATGGACAGACAGTTGGAAAAAAGTCATGGAACTTTGTTTTTGTATATGGTAACTGTGGCAAGATTATTGTATGCACAAAGATGGAAAGATTCTGCATTACTTACAATGGAGGAATGGTTGGTGAAGGTGATGGAACTTGCTGAGTTGGCTAAATTAACTTCTTTGATCAGAGAAAAGGCAATATCTACGTTTATTGCTGACTGGAAACCCCTTGTGGACTTTTTGTGTAAAACGGAAAAAAATGAATTTATGATTTGTGGTTTTGATGATTAGACAGGATAGATTATAGAAAGAGAGAGTTATGTTGTAACCACAGAGTAAGAGATAAATTTATAATTGTGCTTACAACACCCGTAAAGAAGATTGGAAGCCACTTTGTATATTTTTTCTTTCTTTTCTATTTTTCTTTTACTTTTTTTCCCTTGTACTTTTAACTTTTTCTTTGATTTATTTCTTTTTATTTTCTTGTTCTTACTTTATATTAGTTTGTTTTAGTTGTTATATTCCTTTTTCAATTTTTTAAATAAAGTTATATTTTTTTTAAAAAGTGTGAGCTGGTTGCCAAATGTCCAGATCGTGATCACGTGACCATGGGGGTGCTGGGACAGCCAGAACTCTGAGGACTGGTCGTAACCACCATTCATTCAGCGCCATCATAACTTCGAACGGTCACTGAATGAATGGTCGTAAGTTGAGGACTACTTGTATTGTGTTTCTTTTTCTTGTCCTTTATTTTGAGGAGCTTGGTTTTTGTTTTCTTTGCTAGTTTCAGCACATTCTGAGCTTTCTTTCCCTGACGCTATCTGTACAAATCCAGAATATAGTACTAGTACATATTCTTCCTTAATGACCTCACTTAATGTCCTCACCTCCTATAGATGTCTTTTTTTTTTCAGATTGTCACTAACAATTTTATGCAGCTATACTGGCTTCTCCTTTTTTTTTTTTTTTTTCCTTTTCCTGGTTAGATTTGGATACAGTTGTGCTTTCAGCATCTTCCCATTTGCTTTTTCTGCCACCTGTCATTGCTCTGTATTAATTAAAGTCTGCTTTCTTAGGTTCAAGGAATGTGTTTGACTATAATCTGTTTCTGGTAGTAGGGAGCCACCAGCTACAATTCTCCTCTTTGTTATTTTTGCAGGTAGCAGTTCAATCCCACTGTTATTCAGAGTTGAGAATCTGAGTTTTCTCATATTTCTCAAACATTAAAAAAATCAATTGAATGACTGAAAATAGAGAAATGTGAGGAGAAAATAAGCTATACACTCAAAATCAGTGTCCAATCCTCCAGATTTTGTGATCTTCCATTTACTTGGGTAACTTGACAAATAACTTGATGCTTTTTAAAATTCATCAAAAACCAGTTCTGTGGGCCTTTAAACACTCTTTCAAACATTCCTTTCTACAAGCTTTCACTTATATGTGGTTTTGTGCTTTTATTAGCCTACAGGTTCCAATAAGTTTCAGATCTGTTGAGATACTTCATTTGCAATTTTTGCAGCTTTTTAAAAACAGGATTTTAAGGAAAAAAAAGAGTTGAATTGCTTTTTTATACATAAAAGTAGCCATTATAGATTATTGTAAAACATATTTCATAGTCACCAGCTGAAAAGGTCTGTGATGCTACACTTGCAGTTGATTCATCCTCTATAGAGATGCTTAAGAATGGTGTCTGTCTCAAAGTACACTATACTGGGAGGCTAGAATCGCCAATAATGTTATTTTACAGAATGTTCTTTCTTATAAAATGTATGTCATAACAGTTTTATAAAAATAGTGCCCAACTTTCAAGATAATTAGGATATTTTATCACTGTTCCCTAAATAGAAATGTGTGTTTTCTTTTCGCTTTGCAGGCATACAAACTACATTATTTCATGGTTGAGTATTGTTGGTCCAGTGGTGGGTCTCCATCTGTCTTTGAGTTATGTAAAAGCCAATTCTGAAGAGACTACAAGTGCTGATTAAAGAGGTAAAATATAGGGATGTCAAAATGGGTCGTGCAAGTTTGGGTGGTTCATATCCAAAGCCAAACATATACATTTGATCCAGATACAAAATTAAACAGAGTTGTTTTGTTCTGACTATGAATCAAAATGCAGTTATTATAGGCAGAACTGTTTTGGTGGCAGGAAGAGAGGAAACAGGAAAACATTGGCAGGGGCTGAGGGAAAGCAGGGAAAAGGGAAAGTGCTGAAAGTTCAGGAGTGGGTGGCCAATGCAATATGCTGGGACATTATTGTTGGAGGTTGGAGGAATAAAAGATAACATCAGATGTATGGAAGATAGCAGGGGGTGGGTGGGTGATGCTCATCAGCCTTTCCCTACTCATCCTCTAAAATTATTTCTAGATTTTATTTCTGCTGAAACCCAAAACATTCTGAGGTATGTTTCTGTCAAATCAATAGTTTGGCAGAATTTCCAGAATATGTTGTATGTATTTTGTATTTGAAACAAAACATATTTTCAGTTTGCATACTCTTCTAAAATAGTACTTATTAAAATTACACATTTGAAAGCCCTATCTCTTTTTAGTAATTTCTTAGAATTACTAAACGTATTTTAGGTCTGCTTCTCAAACCATAAAACATCAAACATTTTTTTATACAGCAATAACTTTATACCTAAATGAGAGCATGGATTTTCTAAAAGCTGATCTCCTGCATTTCTGTTGCTTTTATTTTTATTATATGGCTTATATATTATATTTTGTATCTTTACATTGATTTTACACTGTTCTTTAGAGTATTATACGCTGATGGTTTTGTGGGAACATTCAGATTCTGTGGCTGATGCAGATTCAATTAGGGAGATAAATGTCACTATAGTTGAGAAATTGGATTAAGATCTTTTCCTTGTTTCTCTCTAGAGAAAATTCCTTTCCCACCTTAAATATGATTGTTACTTATGACATAGTAGTCATGACTATGACTAATAAGATCTATCTCACTTAAGTAGAATAAAAACTAGGATGTGAAATTTAATAAAATGAGTGAATATGGAAGCATCTTTCACATGTCATATTTTGTCTTGGAAAAAACAACTACTTGTTGAAATGATAACCTCATAAAGTATCAAGTGACTCTAAAATTACTTATGTATTTTTCCAGAGTATGTTTTCAGTGATAGATATTTCTCTTAAATATTTATGCAGTGAAGAACTGTTTTCAAACACTGAGTGTAGTTATTCTAATAATCAAGAAAAAAATCATAAAAGCAAGATTTAACACAAGCACGTTTAGCATAAATGTCATCATTCTCTTCATGTTTATATGTTGATCTCATTCAAACCATAGTTTCTGATTACTTTTTCATTATTGTTATTTCAGATTAGGTACGGAAACATGGATTTTGGGTGGAATATAAATTGTCACAAGTCTTGTAATTTATCTCATGCTTGGAACTAAGGATAATACAAAGGTGGCCTTGATGGAGATCATGTTACATTGATATATGTCTGATGAGCACCCAGCTTAGAAATACATTTTAATTGCCATAAGCAGGATACACAATGTCATCAGGACACAAATGTTGATTCATATTATAATTTCTTTGGCTGTGGTAAGTGGGAAAAATTCCTCCCCCAAAACAGATAAGAGGACTATATTGGAGCAATGTCTAGGACAAGTACTTCAAATCCTAGAAAGAACATAAGCAACTGCCAAAGGTATCTGAAACCAACAAAAGTAATAACGATTTCTCTATCTTGACTGCTGTTGTAGCATATGCAAACTTATGAAAAGGAATAATTTGTATGAACAGTTTCCTTGCTACAAGACTCATGAGCAAAACTGATATTACAACTTAACATACTTCTTTTGAGGATTTAGTATAACATTGTGATCATGCAGAATGTTAATAGGCTAGTGCATACATAGGGAAAACTATTACTGGCTACAGTTTCTATTTAGTATATACACATTGTAATATATTTAGCAAGGCTAATATTTATCTGACTTATGACCAGTTTGTATATCATGGTGGCAACTTTATTTGTTGTTAAGGTGTCTTTCCTATTCCTCTAGAAATGAGGGACTTGGATATAAAAATGCAGCAAGGGGTGCAGCTTTCACCAACTTACTTTTTATGGTCCATCAATCAAATGCCTTAGCCTAGCTCCCATACCAGAAGTAAGCCAGGCCAGGAGGAAAGTACTTAAAGGGTCAAAATTGGCATGGAAAAGATTTAGTTCCTGTATCTGGATGTCACTTTCATTTTATTTGTAAATAAAATGGCAGCTACTTTCACTCCTACTTGTCTTTCTGTATGCTATTTCTTTACAGAGAAATATTGGCACAGGAAAAAAGGCAGTATATATAATGGCCCAATACAAAACCATCTGGAATTTAAGTCCTCTATATGTGTCTCCTTGTTTCCTGTATTTTTAGCTGGTTTTCTCTCCAACAGAAGTTACATAAAAATAAATGATGCTGAAAAGTTTACATCATGAGTTCCACGGCTTTATTTACGATTCTGATACATGCCTACAACAATATAGACAGACAGACACACACGCACGTGCACACACAACACTTATGTATGGTTATGACTTACTCTTTCAAGAGGTTAATTAACAGTCGATGTATGAAACCAATTAGCAGAAAATGGCCAGGTTTTTATTTCATTTATCCCATTTAATTAGTCACTGCTTGATTAATGTCAATTATTTCTCTGAGATGCACCATAGCAGAGTATGTACCCTCCACTTAGCTTTTCATTTCCATTAGAATAGTATCAGTTGTAAACAAAATCTGTCTATTTCTTACTACAGTAAGTAAGTGGTGTCAATGTTCCAATATTGTACTATTCAGATTACAAGTTAATTTTCAAAGGCTCAGTATGTTTTGATAGTTAAAAAGACAATACATCACTTTAGCTTCTTTCATAATATTAGGATGTGCTATGACTCCTGTTGAGGCAATTTATAGGTTACAATTAAGGCTTGGGGCTTGTTCCTATCTTTAGTTTATGTCTTTTCCTTATCTAAGCAGATCTCCGCAAAGATTAAATAGGTTTCATATAAATAATGATACTGTGATATCAGAATAAGAAATATTTCACTGTAATATAATATCCATATAATTTCCATGCCAACCTTTTTTAGTAATTTCTCTTCAATCTTTTTTAATTTTATCTTTTGTTATAGGAGAAAATTACATGTAAAGCTTGCTGTTTAAAATATTTTTGGAATCTCTGCTTCTACTTGTTAAATATATATTATTTATTTTGCATCCTTTAACATAGCTATAATGCAGTTTCATACTTTTGCTTGAGGATGTAACTTTGCACATCTTTTTAAACTGAGTTGTGTGTGTGTGTGTGTGTGTGCGCATATATGCACCCCCACATTCAACACACAGAAGCCAGCTAAGAACTGTGATACCACTTTGGTCTTAAGATCCATATCTTTATTCCCTTGTTCTAAATATATATGCAATAAAGTAACTCATGTTGATGTCACTACTCTTACTTGGGTTCTTTTATACTCAGGAGGCATGTTGTCTGATGTCACCTGGTATCTTAATTACATAATTATAATTATATAATTATTTAAATAATTTAGTTTAAGTACTAGAGCCTGGCTTAACTATTTTAATGACAGAATGTATAGCATGATACCTGGCAAGTTTACAGCTTTAAGTTGGGTCTGCAGCTGTCAGTGCATTGCCACCAGACTGCAGAAATTGCTTTCCTGGCTGCTTAGCAGCAATTAATGTTTCACTAGATAGTACTGAAGTTTCAAGACAATGCGCTGAATAAAAAGGATGCATATGTCAGTCAATGTAATGAAAGTATCCAGAGCGTTTCTACTCTAACACTAGTACTAGACTGAGAATCATCTGCTACAAATACAGTACTCAATTTTGTCAGTTGCTGACAGAGATCTAAGAGGGTGTTTCTACTTATTAACCATCATTCAGGAAAATACAGATTCTAATCATAGAGGTTAGAGTAGCCAAAATGACAAAAATCTGTACAGTATCCTACCAACCATTAATTTGTTGATCTCTTCCACTATTTTTTCAGTATAGAAATACAAAGTGCACATATGTGGTATTAATGTTTATGAATGTTTATCTAAACCGTTTTAAAACTATCAAAGTAGTGCCTAACATACCTTACAGCATCCTAGGTAGCTAAAGATATACAACACTTGATTGATACAATTTCTAGTGTCTAATATAATTTCTAATATACCCAATATTTGCAGTGGCTTGAGTCAGATAATGTTCATCCTGACCACCAGTAATCCAGGTAGGAATGTTTTTCTCATAATCCCTCATGCCAGGAATAAATTATCTCTGATAAACACAGATTGCAATTAGAAAAAACACCAGGGGAAAGAATTGGTTATATATGATGCACAGAAAATAAGTCTTCTGGATTGTGGCCATTTATTGCATCCAAATCCTTCATTTCTCCACCAGAAAATCATCCTGCTTCATTGCAATGAATAGAACCTGTGTGAAGTCATAGGCTAAATCAAATAGTGGCCAAGTTTGGATATAACTAATATCCCTTCAGAAATTGGTTTGGGAAGTTGAGAACATTAAATCAAAACTAGTTCTGTACATCTACTGTATCTAGTTCAATACTATAGCCCTTTGAATGGCTGTGATCTTTCACAGAAAGATCTTTCACATTGCCTGCTACTGATTGTTGACTTTCTTTACCCAGTAATGCCAGGGATTAATGTTAGGATCTTATATATTTAAAATATATATTCTGTTACTGTACCCTTCTCCAGAAGAAGCAAACAGGATTGCAGGCTATAGGACAATGCACAGCTCATTCTTTCTCAACATATCAAAGCAAAAAACAAAGACAAATGTCTTATTTGTTTAAGTAGTAGTATTCCATTTTCATGTGAAAGTAGAATTCAACTTCTTGGTTATATAATTTCATTACATCTTCTTTTAAATCTAGAACAGGACAATCTGCAGATTGCATGCAGTTCCCCATCTCCTTTGTTTATGCCCCCTTAAGCCTCCAATATGTTTTAATGTATCTCGTGTGTGTGTGTGGTGTGTGTGTGTGTGTGTGATATCCATCCATCCATCCATCCCCTGTCACCCCTATGGGTGGTATGTGTCTTCCTCAATCTTGGTCCCTCTGGGAGTTTGAGGGTTCCGTGCAGTGTCTTAGCTGTTCCTAGCACTGCACTCTTCTGGACAGAGAGCTCTGATGTTGTTCCTGGGATCTGTTGGAGCCACTCTCCCAGCTTAGGAGTCATAGCCCTGAGTGTTCCTACCATCACTGGGACCACTTTAGCCTTTACTTTCCACATCTTCTCTAGTTCCTCCTTCAGGCCCTGGTACTCCTCCAGCTTCTCATACTCCTTCCTGATGTTGCAGTCATTTGGCACGGCTACATCTATTACCACCACTGTCTTCTGGTTCTTGTCTACTACCATGATGCCTAGTTGATTAGCCAGTACCTGCCTGTCTGTCTGGATCTGGAAGTCCCACAGCATCTTAGCTCTGTTATTCTCCACAACCTTCTGTGGAATCTCCCATCTGGACTTGGAAGAGTCTAGCCGATACAACTGCAGATGTTCCTGTACACAATGACAGCTACTTGGTTGTGCTGATCAGTGTATACTGTTCCTGCCTGCATCTTACACCCTGCCACTATGTATTGGACTGTCTCTGAGGCCTCTTTGCGCAATCTGCACCTTGGGTCTTGTCTAGTGTGGTAGAACCCTGCTTCTATGAATCTGGTGCTTAGTGCTTGTTCTTGTGCTGCTATGATCAGTGCCTCAGTGCTGTCTTTTAGTCCAGCCCTTTCCAGCCACCGGTAGGATTTTCCAGTGTCAGCCACCTCAGCTGTCTGTCGGTGGTAGATCCCATGCAGGATCTTCTCTTGCCCTGGCACTTTCTCTGCTTGAACTTCCTCCCATGTCTGCTGTTGCCTCAGACATTCTCTCAGCAGCTCATCTTTGGGTGCCATCTTACTGATACACTCCTGAATGCTCTGGGTTTCATCCAGGATAGTGGCTTTGACATTCACCAGACCCTACCTGCCTTCTTTCTAGCTGGTGTGCAGTCTCTGGGTGTTAGATTTGGGGTCGAAACCTCCGTACATTCTGAAGGGTTTCCAGGTCTTCACATCAGCAGCCTCTGTCTTCCTTTGGCCAGGTCACTATACCATCAGGGTATCTGATGACTGGCAGGGCATACATGTTCTTCCCATTGAAGACTCCCTTCCCAACAGGGATCTTGTTCTTCCCATTGAGCTGACTCTTCAGGACTTGTCTTATCTTTTGGTGGTACTTAGATGGTCCTTGCCTCCTCATCGTGGTTCCCCTGTGACTGTGGGATACCAAGGTAACTGTAACTGGTCTGTATGTTGGCTATGTGGCCCGCTGGCAATTCCACCTCATCAGTCTTACCTACCTTCCCTCTTTTTACTACCACCCAGCCACGCTTCTCCAGTCCAAATGACATCCCAATGTCCTCACTGTAGATCTGTGTCAGGTGGATCAGCAAGTTGATGTCTTGTTCACTCCCTCTTTTTACTACCACCCAGCCACGCTTCTCCAGTCCAAATGACATCCCAATGTCCTCACTGTAGATCTGTGTCAGGTGGATCAGCAAGTTGATGTCTTGTTCACTCTAGCATACAGCATATGTCATCCATGTAGAGGAGGTGGCTGATAATGGTTCCACTCTTGAACTTGTATCCATATCCAGTCCTCTTGTCTGCCTGTTTGCCTGCCTGCCTGCCTGCCTGCCTGCCTGCCTG